ACTACCTTAAAAGAGCTCCAATTTACAGACAGAAATGTCAAAAATGTTACAACTATCCCCGGTCTCCCCTACTTTCATTCTAAGCGGGCTGGATAAGTGAAACTCGCCTTTCAGTCTGGGAGAAGAATAAAAGGAAGTGCAATCCCAACAGCAATGATCAGTTTTTCTGCATAACTAAGAAAGTCTCGTCTGCTAAATGAGAGGAGTCTGTTACCATGCTGTTTGAGCTTAAACTGAAAATAACAAACTGTGAAAAACAAAGATTTCTGTCGCTGGTTATTATCTATTACTTTTGGTCTATATCAGTGGGAAAAGCTGTAAATCTCATATATAGTCAATATTAGTTAAAAGTCCCTCACTTTTAGTGTCTTCGGCCAATTTTGGCATCAATTTGACGTCCCTGCTGTAAAAGGTTCGCATTGACTTCATTTCCCACAAGCCATTGCTCTGGGTCATCTAAAAAGTATTCATGAGAAGACCGGATATTTTATTTAGAGAGAAATGCAGAAAGGCGTGTTATTTATAACCGGATGTTTACAATAAGAAACCGCGTGACAGCTGTCTTTGAGGGGACGTGGGTGGAAACGCGCGTTTGGTCGCTATTTGTTCCGTGACGCGAACATCTGGTTGAGTTTTGGTTGTCCTGCTCCGGCCACGCGGAACTACGGTCACAAGTGAAACATGTCCGTGTCCCACGGCAGCTACAAACCTGTGGACCGTGTCATTTTTGACATGGATGGATTGTTATTAGGTCCTGAAACGCGTTTTTATCTTCTTCTGGTCACGTTGTGTTTTAGGCGAGTGCTGAGATCCATTCATCCACTCGAGTCGGGTCCACCGCAGCCCGTGGAAAAACATCACTGATATGATGTGTCGTGTAAAGTTTTTATATGTGATGTTGAATTCGGCACAAATCTAAACCATCAGTCTGTGCTATCAACTTGTTTAGCATGAAACAAACCAGTCTTTACACGAGTGTAAGTGAACGCAGACTCACGCTGTGACTCCACGTGTGCTGAATCCACCTCTGTAACTAAGTTACAGATTATCCACCTGCCTATGCTGATACCTGCGTTTGGCCTGTTTTAAACGGGTGCGCGGTTTTAATGAATGTTAACATCGATGACGTCATCAGGTCAGATGTTTGTTGTGTACCTGTAGGTTTGTGGTGAACAACGTGCTTCAGTTCTGCACATGCTCAGTGACATTTAAGTAAAAGCTGTTTATTTCCTCATTATAGACACGGAGCGACTTTACACCGTGTCCTTCCAGGAAATATGTGACCGCTTTGGAAAGCAGTACACGTGGGACGTGAAGACCTCAGTGATGGGGAAGAAGGCTCTGGATGCTGCCCAGATGATCCGTGATAGGCTGGAGCTCCCCATGACGGCTGAGGAGCTGCTAGCTGAAAGCAGACAAATACAGGAGAAGATCTTTCCCTCTGCTAAACTCATGCCAGGTAAACCTGACATCTGACATCATTACTGTGTTTGCAGCTTCCTCTGAGGATGCAGATGAACAGTAAGATGCAGCTGTTTGTGCTAAGCTAAGGTTACTTTATTGTCTCCTGTAGGAGGAAACTGAGCGTCCAAACGGGACAATAGCAAACAGTAAACACATTTAAACTGCCTGTCATTGGTGTGTAGGCTGTGGATCTTCACGTAGGAGTGCTGAATCACACCAGTGTGCTGCTGTAACCTCTGCTAGCTGCTCGCACACCTGTGAACACCTGCTGTCTGTGTGAATATTAGAAGTCAGAAACAGACGTGCATCCATCACATGTCCATTTGTGTCACATGACACTGGCAGTTCATAATCAAACACCAACAATTCCCTGGATTTCATCCAGAACGCCGTGTCGTAATTAAATTACTGCAGACAGGATTTCATTTGTGCTGCTAATGCTGCTAAACACAGGCTTAGTGACACACAGACGTCTGCTCTTACAGGCTGGTGCTGCTCATTGTTAAACAGGGAAACATCGCTTTAGTGGGCGGAGCTTAGTCCAGCTGCAGGTCAACACATGACAGATGTTCATGAGTGGACGAACAGCAGCGACTCTGCTAATCTTGGAGTTTTTTATACATGTCAGTAAGTAGTTTAGTTTTAGTGGACTCTAGTTTAGGACTAGAGGTTTGATCTCCTGCCAACTGTACATGTGACCCCACAGTGACACAAGAAGAAACAGGATCCATCACTGGGCACGAGACGCTTGAATCACAGCCAAACAGACTCTGACCAGTGGAGGACTTCTCTTGTGTTTTCTTAGACCGGAGCCGATCATACTGCCCATGTTACACAAGAGCTGCAATGCATTTTTGTTTCACAGCAAAAAGCCCAGTGTTGTCTCACAGAGTTGATTTCAGCACTTTCTCAGGGTTTATCGAGCCCCAACACAATGCCAGAGTTTGTTATTTAACTCACAAAAATGTGTTAAAATAACACTAAAAGATTAGACAAATAACTGCGCTCAGAGCTACTTTCTCGCTAGTTTCACTCCCTCAAGTGTCAACACGGAAAACTGTTAAATTAATAAGAAGAATTCCAATAAACAAATAAATTTTCAAATAAAAGTGTTTTTGCCTGCAGTCATTAATGCAGCTGAATGAAAACACCGTAAATGAAGCTGTAAAATACAAAGTTTCATCTGAACCATTGTTTGAATATCAAATGGTTTGTGAAATTTAAACTCAAATATTTTGAATCATACGACTTTCCTCACTTTGTACTTCCCTGAGTGCATGACAAAAGAAAAGAGACAAGACTGCAGCGAGGCAAGTCCAGCGTTATAATCAAAACTATCAACTTTAACTCGACTAGTTGAGAAAAGCTTGTTTGATCTCATTCATTTTGTTTGATGGTGAAGGTTCCCAGTGATCAGCTTTGGCCGTCTGACGCTTTTCAGCACGTGATTTGTTTCTGTTTGTCAAAAGTTTAAAAGACTTCAGACCTCACACAGTCCACATGTGCCAGGTCTCTCTTGAAAATGAGATTTTTTACCTGGATAAATAAAGGACTGATGTGGAATCAGGACACGGGTAATGGATCATGGATGCTTAGGTATGACGTTTCTATGTGGTTACAAGTGTTTAAATAGTTTTGGTGCTCAACAATGAAATGCTATAAATATACTGTCAGACCTGCAGTCGCAGACGGTGAGGAAACGACGTTCATTATTTGAAGTAACAACACCAACAAATTCCAGTTTTTGTCCCCTGCAGGAATAATGTCACAGACACAGTGGGATGTTCCCCACAGGACACAGTGTGTGGATAGAATTCAAACTAGGGATGCAACAATACCAAATTTTTCAAACCGATACGATACCGATACTTGGATCTGAGTACTTGCCGATACAGAGTACAAAAACCGATACTTCTACCACAAAATGACCACAAAAAAATTTCAAGTGAAAAATAAGCACTTCTGTTAAATTATTGCAGAGTCTCCACATTGTAATTTATCAGAATATCACTGAACTATTGGCACTGTCTCTAGGGGATGTCCCCCTAGTGGCCAATCTAAAAAACTACAACAGAAATGACAAGCCACCCTCTGATTTATGAAATAAGTTGGTATCGGTTCATGGTATCGGTTAACTTTTATGAGTATGAGTACACACACATTTTACAGTATCGGCCCCGATACCCGACACCAGTATCGGTATCGGTGCATCCCTAATTCAAACCATTACCAGCACTCTCCAAACTACGTCCTGTTCTGACATGAAGTGTTGTGTGAGATATTCAAAAAGCAGTTTGATCATGCACTATATCAAATGAGTCGTTATTACAAACATGGACATACTTTTAATATTTCTTTTTAAACAATATAAAGATTGAATTGTTTCTTGGAGAAATGCATGATCATCCTACTGTTTGAGAATCGCTGCTCTCAATCAAACAAAGGCGACAGAAATGCTGTTACTGCACGACTCATTAAAACCAGGAGTCAGGTCCATTCCTGGAGGATCTCCAGCGAGCTGTGAGCGTGCCAGATACCTCAGCCCTGGGCTCTGTGCAGATCTCACGTGTGAAAAAGTGACACCAGATGAATGTTATTCAAAACCAAATGAAATTTTGGGGCAAGTTTCTTACAATAAAATAAAGACGTCTGGAGCCGAGGGGATTGTTTCTCAGTCATCATAGTGCAGCTGAATTTGTCATGTGTGTCTTTTGACTGAAAACTAAAGCTGAGTTTTAAAATAACTTCCATCAGAAAAGTCAGGCTCTGATCTACACGCCTTCTTTAAGAGTGTAGCATCCCTGGCTGAATGATGGTCTCTTATACTGATGCTTCACAGAGGTTTTATTGGAAATGTTTTTATTGAAACATTCAGTGAAGACACCGTAAGAGCTAGGAGCAAAACAAAACCAGCGATATTAATACCATAACATCAAAGGAAACAAATTTCTCCTGCTCACATATAGCATATACATCAAATTTACATCACTCAATTCATTATATCACCTCACTAACTTACAACTACAGATAAAGGTCAAGGTTACCAACATAAACTCTATTAAACGACATTTTGATTGCATGTAACTTATTCCGTTAAAGGAAACATTAACAAACCTTGTGCCACTGTCAGCCAGGTACTAATTGGCAAAGGAAACGTACATATTTTTCACTTTAAGGCACACTATTTACCATATCCTAAAAAAAACGTTGTGCCAGTTTCCTGTTTCAAAATAAAAGCCTGGATTTCAAAATAAAACCGAAGTACCTTTCAAACAAACGTAAAAATATTTACCGAATTTAAAGGTCATTTACAAAGAGCACACAGATGTCTGGATTTCTGCACATGATCCTCAGTCTTTCTGAAGTACATATATAAAATACATATGTATGTATATAAATATATAAAAGTCTATACTGGGTGGGCCATTTCTATGGATACAGCGTAATAACATGGGAATGGTTGGTGATATTAAAGTCCTGTTTGTGGCACATTAGTATATGTGAGGGGCAAACTCCTCAAGATGGGTGGTGACCATGGTGGCCATTTAGAAGTCGGCCATCTTGGATACAACTTTTGTTTTTTCATTAGGAAGAGGGTCATGTGACACATCAGACTTATTGGTAATGTCACAAGAAAAACAATGGTGTGCTTGGTTTCAACGTAACACTCCTGTAGTACTCCTGTAGTACCACCACCACCTCCTAGCACAGATGTAACTAGCAACAAAAACATGGTGTTCAAAGCGTTTCGAGTGTTTCTGAGTGAAATGTTGGAAATTCATGAAACACCTGTTTAGCTGATCTTGCATCACGTGCACCTTCAGTTCGTTGTCTCTTGTCAGGAACCTCGTCGATGATTATAGTTGATGCACTTGAGCTGAAGCTCGAGTCCGACATCCCAGAGCAGGAGACGAGGAGCAATCGAATAGAAAAACAATCAGAATAACTGTTATTGTTTGGATGCAGAGGGCCTGGTTACACCTGCCTCTGAAGCTCACTGTGACAGCTCCACATCGCCTCGTCCAACAAGGCCTCTGAATATTTCCACATCAGTGTCTGTCCCTGTTGCATCCCTGTATGTGACATCAGGGGGCAGGAAACATCTCTCAGTAACTGCAAAACAGTATAAATAAATTCATGTGCTTTTGAAGGCAGCACTTTTTATAGGTCACAGGTAAAGATTATCCATGTGAAACGCATTAAATCACCACTCAGTGACCATTAAACAGACACATTTCTTCTCCTGCACAACCTGAAGTCCAAATTTCAAACTTAAAGAAAAATTGACTGTTATGCTCTTCAGGGGAATACATGTTGGGGATATTTCTTAATTAACAAGTTAAATTCATCAGTGTCCAAAGAATGGGGCTTTAAAACAATTCACATCTGTTTCTAAACCTTTTTTGTGGAATTGGAGAAAATCAATCTGTCCTTCAAAGGCATCCAGCTACGTCTGCTGCTGGGTGTGCTTCACCTGCATCAGCATTTTTACTAAGACATAAAGTGAATTAAGATTTAAAGGGAAAACATCTGAGAAGCCCTGACCTCTGTGTGTGGCCAAGCAGGCCACACACAGAGGACTTTCTGTGCCAGTCATTCTGACACACTGGTGCTGGTAACAGTCACAGCTTTGTAGCGCAGGTATTCTCCACATATGATATGACGATGAGTTTATTAACAGCCCGGAGAAAACATCAGCATATGTCTTCTGACCAAAATACATGTTGTGGATACTTATAAAGCAGTGGGGTACACGCCCCCCCATGGCGTCAATTACAGATTAAAATAGGTTCCAGACATTAGTCACAGTTAATCGTACATCTT